GAATCCGCCAGCTCAGGTGTATGTGGCTGATGCCCCAGCTGCTTGAGCCACAGGCACCAAGCCTAAAGTTAATTTATTACTGAAGAATTTTTTTATAAGTTTAGCATAGTCTAAGAGTACAGTGCTTATTATAAAGTTTACAGCAGTGTATAGCAATGTCCTGGGCAACCCACCACTCAGTCACTGATTCGCCCAGAGCTATGTCCTGCATAGTAAATGCCCTATACAGGTATGCCATTTGTTATCTTTTATACTGTATTTTTACTGTACCTTTTATAAGTTTAGATGGTTTAGATATACAAATACTTACTATTGTGTTTCCACTGCCTACAGTATTCAGCACAGTACCATACTGAACCGGTTTGTGAGAGTACATTCTGGGATGTTTACACAATGACAAATCTTCTCACAATGCATTTAGGGGATTGTATAAACTGCAGTGGTTCTCAACCTTCCTAATGCCGTGACCCTTTAATACAGTTTCTCATATTGTGGTGACCTCTAACCATAAAATTATTTTCGTTGGTACTTCATAACTGTAATTTTGTTACTGTTATGAATCATAATGTAAATATCTGATATGCAGGAAGTATTTAGGCGACCCCTGTGAAAGTGTCATTTGACCCCCAAAGGGGTCACGACCCACAGGTTGAGAACTGCTGGTACAGAGGATATTCAGAATGTATTCTCGTCATTAAGTGAGGCATGACTGTGTTTGCTCCTTAGTAGACTTGAGAACCCTTGCCTTATAACCTTAGTACAATTTCACACATTTGTTCACCATTAAAAGTTTAAATGAGACAGTGCTTGGTATCAAATTTAAAAAGTATGCCAACAACATCCCTACGCAGAAAAGAGGCTATGCAGAAGAAGAAAACGTCAGCTTGGGTTCATTGAGTTTTCACGGACTCAATCCCATATACTAATTTTTTTCTTCTGAAAAGGTGAATAAACATATTCCTCATATTATGTTATCAAATCATTCCAGGATTCAAAACGTTCATTATGACTTCTATGGAGTTAAAATGCTGACATATCCATAGACACTGCTTTTTCCTACTATGCAATTCACTTCCCTCTAACTTATTCTTATTTTACCTGGTTTCATCTGTCGAGCCTTTCACTGTGTTAAGTTTGAAGGTCTCTAAGATTTTGTCTTCTGGGAGAGATGGCAAAAGGGCAGGCATCGACTACAATAAAAAACAAAGATATGTCAACTCCAGCGGCCAATGCCATGCCTTCTGAAATCCCAAGGGAAATGCCCTAAGAGAGACTCAAAGCAAAACCACACCCCCCCACCCCGCCTCACCTTTCCAGGAAGACCATTTGCCTTAGAAAAGGGATTTTCTGAGTGCAGAGCAGGCTGGACTTGGCAATCTGCACCATCAAATGGCAGACCGTTTTCTTTCAGGTCACTGTCTGCACTGTTAGCACCATTTAGAGTAATAGGTTCTTGAAGCTCGTGCTGAGAGACCTCTTCATCTTCAGCACCTTGACCAGGGGCGAGTGAGTCTGAGATCGCACCAACACCATTCTCCTTGCCTAGTCCCTTGGACTCCTCGTCAGAGTCTTCAGATGACTCAGCGCCATAGGGAACCAACACACTTGAGTTCAACTTAGACTTGCCATTCATCACAGGCTTGGAACAGGCTTCACTCAGGGTAGCTGTTTTTGTTATTTTACTAGAAATTGACATCGTAGATGCAGTCGAGGTAGACGGTATTGCAGAAGAATTGGTAATAGTAGAAGAGGGAACAGACTTATTAGGGTTCTCCAAAGAATTGCTATGAAGGTTAGGCTGAGATGGACCCTGGCGACCAGGCAACTTGTTGTGAATACTGATAGTAATCTTTTGTTTCTTGGGATGTTCTGGCATAACAGAAGGCCTGTTAACTGACCAGTTTTGAACAGAAGTTGAAGCATTAACAGGACTTGTCCTGTTGACGCTGGAATTTCCATTAGGACTTGACAGAGAACTGCTTGGTGTATCTTTCAATGGTCCAGTCCCATTTAAGTGAGGTGGATTCTGGAGGGAAGAAAACCGCAGCCAAGGTCAGAACTTCAGAAACATGGTCCTAGAAACAGAATCCATTTTGGCTTATGGCCCTTTCCCATTTTGTCCTTTTCTTTTTGTAACTTATAAGTTTCACATACCTACAAATGCTTCCTTCTTTCATCTGTTCCTACCCATGAGTACATTTAACGGGTCTCTTCTAGCATTTTATCAAGAAACAGGGCAAATATGTTTGTTACGATACAAACAGGAGATCAAATTCTTTCTGTTCTAAATATGGCAGGCATGAGCAGGTGTTGGGAGCCTACTACTATACAGACAGAAGGAAGTGCCAGGAAGCAGGTATCACTGCTGACCTTGGACCAAGGGAAGACAGTCATGTGGCTGAGTGTGGTGACTCACGCCTGTAATCCTAGCATTCTGGGAGGCCAAGGCAGGTGGATCGCTAGAGCTCAGGAGTTTAAGACCAGCCTGAGCAAGAATGGGACCCCATCTCTACTAAAAATAGAAAATTAGCAGGGAATGTCGGACTACTCAGGAGGCTGAAGCAGGAGGATCACTTGAGTCCAGGAGTTTGAGGTTGCTGTGAGCTAGGCTGACACCAATGCACTCTAGTCTCTGGGCAACAGAGTGAAACTTTGTCTCCAAAAAACAAAAACAGGCTCGGCGCCTATAGCTCAACCGGCTAAGGCGCCAGCCACGTACACCTAAGGTGGCGGGTTCGAATCCCCAGCCCGGACACGCCAAACAACAATGACGGCTGCAACCAAAAAATAGCCGGGCGTTGTGGCGGGCGCCTGAGGTCCCAGCTACTTGGGAGGCTGAGGCAAGAGACTCGCTTGAGCCCAGGAGTTGGAGGTTGCTGTGAGCTGTAATGCCACGGCACTCTACCCAGGGGGACAGCTTGAGGCTCTGTCTCAAAAAAAAAAAAAAAAAAACAACTGAGTGAGGCTGCTTCAGGTACACTCACTAAGACATCATCACTACCACCACCCCACGTCTCTAAATTTTATGCACACAGTTCTTTTGCTCAGGTTACCATTACTATTGCCACATTTCCATGGTTGCCTAGGAATGAAAGCTGGTTTACAGATGAACTATTTAACCTTCACAATGTTTTCTCAAATATCTGAATTAGTTGCTGTCTCAACAATGAAAAGTTTCATGATAAAAACAAATCAGACTCTGGCTGGATGTGATGGCTCATACCTGTAATCCTAACAATCTGGGAGGCTGAGATGGGTGGATTGCCCTGAGCTCAGGAGTTCAAGACCAGCCTGAGCCAGAGTGAGACCTCATTTATACAAAAACAAAAAAAGTGGGCATTGTGGCGGGTGCCTATAATCCCAGCTACTTGGGAGGCTGAGGCAAGAAATCGCTTGAGCCCAAGAGTTGGAGGTTGCTGTGAGCTGATGCTACAGCATTCTACCGAGGGGCACAAAGTGAGACTCTGTCCAATTAAAAAATAAATTAATTTAATTTAAAAAACCTTCAAACTAAAACAATTGAATACAAAATTCAAACAAAACAAAACAAAAACAAATCAAACTCTTGGAAAATCGATGACAGCCACCCCTTTCCCTAGGGCATGTGCCCTCTGGTGCGTCAGCACCCTGATATCACTCTGCAGTAGAACCCAACTCCAGTCATTGCCTTCCCAGCTCACAAAGGCATTTGACTCCTACTATAATTCAAATACTATCTGATGTCCATTAATAAAAAGGCATACAAGTAGACAATGTGTATAATTTTGAACAAATTGTAAAGATGTTAAGATACTTTGGCACAAATGATACAGACTACTCCATGATGCAGACTGCTAGATTCAATCACCCACATAAGTTTGACCAGAGCAAGGCCCCTACTAGAGCACTGTGCCTGTGATACAGGCTCACTGCTGGTCCACCCACACGACCATCAAGGAGTATGGTCAAGCCAGACAGACAGCAGCCAGAAACGCTCCACTCCTGAAATGACTGAATGAATGTAATGGAAGTGGCCTTGTGAACAAATCACTTTCTTGGAGTCCAGCATGAGTTAGGAACACCCCAAACATTTAACCCTTTGTGTAGAATCAAAGTCCAAAATGGAAACTAAAGTTTACATATATTTATAACCCAGACTTTCCTCTTGATCATCTACTCTACTATGTATTTAAAATACTTTAAAATAAAAGGCCTAAATAAACTTTTTTCACAATAAATCCAGTTATTTATGAGGATATTATAACTACAAAGTTAACTTCAGAATTAAAGAATATATTTTAAAAATTAACATAAAGATTATATTCTCTCTATGGAATGTCACCTTCATCACATGAGAGGGAAGCTGTGGTCCGATAAATCCTGCCGAGGCCTGCTTATTGTTGCTGACAACCCGCTGACTGATCACTGGGCGGGGAGAGGACTGGCCAGGGCTATGGGTGGAATGAGCAAGTTCGCTTCCATTTTTCACATCATGGGACCTGGACACAGGGAGAGTAATATTGGTTAGGTTGACAGCATTTCCTTAGAAGAGAATCATTTACAAATTCAACAGTACTATAACACCTCAAGTAGAAAAGTGATGAAAAAATAATTACTTTCATGTTACACTGTACAGAACTACACACATTCTCTCCTTTTGTTTAGGTTAATGTCAAGTACTCAGATCAGGAAACAACAAAGGTAAATACTTTTATCTGGGTAAATGGTATTTTATAACTGTGTATTCTAATGATGCTACTACTTGAAAAGTACTTATTTGTATTTTACTAATTATAAATATATATCACTGTAGAAAATCTATAGTGTCCAGAAAAGTTAGAAATAAAACACTGTTCCTCAGCTGCCCCTCAGACGCAGCTCCTTGTCTGATTTAGTCAATTACCTTCCATGCTTTATCCATATGGTAGTTTTCATTATCAGTGCTTAATATTCCACACTGCTTTTCTTCCACATACATTCAGTACTTTCTCAAAATTAAAAACAAAATGTTTCATAGAAATCACTCTTAAGCTGCATAAATATTTCAATTTTGGATATGAACATTCTGCCACTGTTGGACAGATCTTAGGATATTCTTAATTTTTAGCTATTTAAAAGGGACACATTGGAACACATATCAGATATTTTCCATAAATGGAATGAGCAAGAATATGTAGTCATAGTAAGACAGACACAGTAGTGGTGCTGGCCCAGGCTTTGACCAGGAAGGTGACTGGCTGTGCTCAGCCATTGGGAGGCGCCAGCTGAAGTCCCCTTCCTGAGGTATCTATCCACTGACACCATAGTGCTGGCCCACTACGTTTTTCACCAGCACCAGAGGACACCCTCCTCAGCTATCACCTCTCCTTTCCTCTGTACATTTCAATGTTACCCTGCAAAAGAGCTGGAAACTAAAGCAAACTCAAAATCCACACTCAAAAACTATCTTCCTCACTCTCCAGGTACATGGCACAATTAATCTTTAAGCTGCTGTTTTATTAAAAAATAACTAATATTAAATTTCTTTTCTTGGCTCAGCGCCCATGCTCAGTGGTTAGGGTGCTGGCCACATACACTGAGGCTGGCAGGTTCAAACCCTGGCCCAGGCCAGCTAAACAACAATGCCAACTGCAACAAAAAAACAGCCAGGCATTTGTGTCAGGTGCCTGTAGTCCCAGGTACATAGGAGGCTAAGGCAAGAGGATTTCTCAAGCCCAAGAGTTTGAGGTTGCTGTGAGGTAAGATGCCAAGGGCAAGATAGTGAGATTCCGCCTCAAAAAAAAAATTCTTTCTTCTTTTTGGGGTGAGGGGAAATAGGATCTCACTATGTTGCTCAGGCTGATCTCAAACTCCTGATCCTCCCACCTTGGCCTCCCAAAGTGCTGAAATAGGCATGAGCTACTATCATGACCAGCAATAAATTTCAATATATTGGTAAGAGAAGAAATGAAATAACAGAAAATATGGCAAACTGTTTTCATGTCAATACCTGATATAAAAGAGCACATAGGCTTGTTGACTAAGTACCGATCTAATATCACTGGTGGATACGATGGAGTCATTCATTTGATACCAGAGGCCATTGCTAGCCTGCAAAAGAGAGCCATTAAAAGAGAAATAAAGAGATTAATTAAAGAAACATGGAATACAGTAAAAAATATAAAAAAATGAGGGACATTCACATATTTGCTGTAAAAGTCTCAGCTTTCCTCACAAGAAAGTGCTGTATTATAGCAATAGTTATTAGCAAATTCTGCACAGCTTACTTTGATGTAGCAGAAGTAATGTCCTGCATGGCAATTAAAACCAGTATGCACCAGCACTGCATACAAGACATAGATAATTGGCTCTCCATTTGGTTGAGACATGTATGGCCGAATATCAAGATACTCAGGGTACTTTACATCCTAAACAGAAATGGAAAAAGAAGGAAAACAATGTCATCTCTGAGGGCAGACTATTCTGCATATTTAAATAAGGGTATTTAGAGACTCCGAATAGGAGATCTATAAGACACTACACACTGTGTTATTCCAGCAGAAACCTAACACATTTTACCAGCTTTCAAAGTACATGATTACCTGAATCTAAAGGTATTTAAGGCCTCCCACTGCAATTTTTATTTCCTCTAAACAGATAGGAATCTACATTTATATTAAGTATATTGTTTAAATCCATAAAAGAAGATAGGAATGGCATAACTCTAGTGTTTTATCAACCTTTTTTAATCTCAAGGCACACTTGAACCTACAGTTGAATGTCCACAGTACACTTTAATTATGTTGGTCAACATAAAGAGTAAAAAAAGGAATATACTTACTGTGCTTTGAACTTCTTTCAAAAATAATTTAACTAATGATCTTAAAAATTTTTTTTGTATTTTTGTATTTTTTTATTTCAGGTTAATTTGAGGGTACAACGAGTGAGGTCACAGTGTTTGCATTTGTTAGGTACAGACCTTGTTGTAGTTATCTCCTGCCCCCAGAAGTTGTGCCACATATGACCATACTGTGCCCATTAAGTGGGAGCACACCAATCCCTCTTCCTCCTCCCCTCACCCACCCTACTTTCTTTTCCATTCTTGTGAAACTTTATTAAGAAGAATGTGTTTCAACTATATCCAAGTTAATACAAAAGATGTAAGGTTTCCATCTTTTTTATGGTTGAATAGTATTCCATGGTATACATATACCACAGCTTGTTAAGCCATTCCTGGGTTGACGGGCACATAGATTGTTTTCACATCTTGGTGACTGTAAACTGAGCTGCAATAAACAATCTAGTGCCAATGTCCTTATGATAAAATGATGTGCTTTCTTCTGGGTAGATGCTAGTAATGGGATTACAGGACCAAACAGAAGGTCTATTTTGAATTCTTTGAAATGGATTCTCCATACTTCTTTCCATAGAGACTCATTTAGTTTGCAGTCTCACCAACAATGTAAAAGTCTTCCCTTCTTTGCACATCTGCACCAGCATCTGCAGCTTTGGGACTTTGTGATGTGGGCTTGATCTTTAAAAATTTTTCCATACACTTAAGATCTTCTCATGGCACACCAGTTGAAAATTACTGCTGTAGATATTGGTCATGACTTACTTTTATTTTTTAATAATTCAGGAATGGATTGTTTATTAACCCTGCAATTAAATTTTTGACTACTTTTAATCTCAGAAAGCAGAAAGAAAATGGGAAATTCAAGTCCTGGACTTCAAGTCATAGCAGAGAGCCATGATGGCACCACTGCACCCCAGGCTGGGTGATGAGCAAGACCTCATCTCTAAATAACTAAAAAAACCCCCAAACAAACAAAAGAGAAAATAGGAAAATTCAGTGTACTACCAATCATAAAACAAATGAACAAATAAAAACATGAACTCTAATGAAAATGTGGCATCATCTGGCAGGGAAGTACTCTTTGGATTGGATTTTAAATAATACAAGTTCTCTGTGTACCTCCACTCCCCATCATTACCTTGGATACTAAAAATTGGACTATGAAGCTAAATGCAAACAAGTTATTATTTTATCATTAGAAAGTCTAGCTAGCTAAGGATATAATAAAAATACATACACTCATTAAGTACACATAACAAACTACTGGCTTTATTCTTAACACCTCTTTTCCTGCTATCAAATGCTGAAAGAACTTAGACAATCAGTCAATAAAAATTGTTTAGTTAGGTTGCTTATGACCCTTAATAGCTACTGACATGCCTTCCAAGATCAACATAAAAGGTTAATAATAACATCATCTACATACCTTAGCAATTTTTCCACCAGTAAAATTTGCAAAACGTTTCAGAGAAAGTGTAAGAACATTAGAGGATCTATGTATAGTGAATCTCTTTGAAGCTGTAACCATCTTTTTACACCTTGAAATAAATGGAAACAAAACTTTCAGGAGATATTTTCTTGGTATTTAGTCTTTTTCTTATT